TGCTTGGGTTCCAAGATGATGTCAACAGCAATCAACCTGCAATGTTCCCAACATGTTCCAGCACCAGTACGTCCACAACTGTCCCAAATCTCATTGTGTTGCAATTGGTTTGGGGTCCAGCAAAGTAGTGTTCAAGTGTTTTGTTGGGTCGGTGCGGACTCCTGCTGCTTTCAGCATGCTCCGTTCATGTCCCGCAAGTAAGTGTCCGAGAAGCACAGAGATGGCAGAGCTTCAGCCCGGCAGCGCGAAGCCCATTAGCAACGAAGCCGCCATCCTGGGAATGCAAACAGGGGTATTTTCCTAGATACATTCAATATGCAGAATTACGCGCTTGCCAGCGTGGACACTGCTTATCATGCCTGGGGTGTTTGAAGGCGTTGGAGCATGGCACAGATTTGTGATGAATGACAATCTCTTAATCGGTGATGATATTGCTCATGTAGATGTCGTTGTGCTGCCTCCAGAGCTAACATAGCACTCACAGCCGCAGCTGCCGCTGGCCACTGCCGAGATCACGCCTGGGCCAATTGCAGAGTGGGGGAGTCAGCCTTTGTCAATGAGAGGCTCCCAACAGCACACCTACGATTGGAGATGCTGACGATTCCTCCAAAAACATTTGATGAGAAGTTCATATCAAGAACAGGCTATCCGGAGACCTTTTGGTTTGCTTTGTCCAATGCCTTGGAGTATATGGAGAATCGGAGGCTCGTGCTTCAGGAACATGCCCAACGCAGAAAGATCCGACCAGATGCATCCGAACACAGATTTGCAAAAAGTCACAGCCCTAGTTTTGCTGGCCCTGTTCCAAAACATCATTCTGATGAAGTGTTGGATGACCTCGCCTGCTTTTGTTCCCAAGGAGCTGATTTCAACCGGTCCTTGGCAAAGAATGAACCCTGGATTCCTGGATGTCTTCTCTTCCCCCAGAGCTAAAAAACATCCTTCAGAAACGCAGGGTTGGGATTTCCAGTAAAAGACAGTTGCAAAAGCTATTTGGGGCAAGTCTGGTGCAAGGAAGGCAAGTGAAGCGATCCAACTCTGTTTTTCAATTGTTGACCTGGCGTTGCCAAATTCAATTTACCGTGCCTTATTCTTTTGGCAGATCGTGCACTATTGATTGCCTTTGTGACCAGCCGTGCGCCACACGAGCAAGACCCTATTCTTTCCAAACTGCAGCAGGGCCAACTAGCCAGGCATGCTGCAATTGCGTTGACATGGCGAAGGCACTGACTAGAGCTCCTGTCAAACATAGAAAAGGAACAGCTTCCAATTTCAAGGTCCGTCAGGCTCCTGTTTCAGCATGAAGTTTAAGGTGGCAGTCAGACATGGTGCACAATGAAGGTATTTGCAACTGAAATCTCAACGAGTGTGAATTTGTTCCTTGCCCTGTTTGGGAGAGAGGCATGTGATATAGTGGTAGACATGGCCACAGCCTCCAGCATCCAGAAGACTCTATTCATCACATTTCGCCATGACACTCGGCAAGCACAAACACAAGAAGCAACAGCTCTTGGCACAAGCGCTCTCTGAGAGGTGTGCTCAGGCTTAGCGCTTGGTGCCCGTGACACCTCCCGTTGACCGTGACGGCCTGATGCCCGCGACTCTGCCGTCGGCGTGACGAGTTGCGGTGGTCGCCTCCGTTGCGCTCGGCTCGGGCACGGGCGGAGCGAAGTGAAGAGAGCGAGGCCGAAGTGACGAGACGTGGGGCTGGGAACCAGCGCTGCTGTGCTGCGACGTGTGACCGGTGCTGAGCAGACGAAGTCCGTTCCAAAGAAAGTGACTTCGAAAGCGATCCCACAACTCAAAAGTGTAGAGCATGCTGCATGCAGAGTTCTTTGTTCGAAAAGTCAAGATAAGCTGCGGTAGGAACGATAAAGACCAGAATGGACAATCTATAAAGGTCAGATAATGAGCATTGCAAACCTCTCAAAGGAGATCCACTTGCTAGATGTGGCACTCATGTGTGTGTGTGTGAGGGTCGTAGGTTGCATGGACCTCGCTGTAGATTCAAACGAAAAAAGCAAGCTCTATGAGTCCTTCAGTCAATTCAGGTGACCAAAGACCATCCAGTTTGAGCAGGCAGTCTGTGAAATCGAGCATGGTAAGCACGAGCTGCCTTTTTCCTCGTCACGAGCTGCGTTTGGTTTTTTCGAGCCTATCCCAGCAGTGCCGGCGCAGCAAGGTCGCAGGTGCAGTGCCGGCGTAGACAGTCGTCCCACTGGACTTGAAAGAAAAGAAGTAGGTGCAGCCGGCGCCACAGCCAGAGCTGGCTGTTTGGAGGACCTGGCGTTGGCTGATTTTGGATTGAAGCCACTTATTTAATTTGGGTTGCTTCTTTCGGTGCACGAACCAAGAGCAGCTTTTTTCACACGCCTGGGAAGATAAGAAGTTTCTTCATACGCAACCACAGCCTAAAGATAGCATCCTGAAGCAGGCAGCCTGTGAAGGCTGCATCTCTGCCCACGGCACACAGAAGTTCCACTGAGAAGGGAGAGTGGAGGCGGAACGGATCCTGGACGAAGTAAAGCGAAGCTAAGGCTTCAGCCAAACAAACAATTTCTGCGGCTTGACATGCGGCGATATGGCTTTGACATCCGTCAGAAGTAGCCAAACCAGTCAAATTCTTTTGGCTGAAGAGCCCAAGCACTCGACTTCTCAAGAGCCCGAACGCTGGGCCAATAGCTCTCTTCGGGGCTCCACGGCTCGGGCGAAGCATGAAGAAGTCAAGGCCGGAGCTGGTGGGACAAAACCATCGGGATGGAGCTTCCGCATTGGGGAGCTTCTGCACCAAGAGTGTGGCTTTGAGTTGGTGGTCGCTGGCTTTTCCAGTGTGACACCGCGTGTGTCGACGCGCACCACCGGTTTTCAGGGTGGCTTGGCAACTTGGAACGACCGTCAGGCAATGGACAGTCCATAATGGTTAGTTGGACAGTCAGGTGGATCACACAGAGTCATACTCGTCGTTTACCAGCCATTGGACTACAGGCCGCCAGGTGTGAATCTGCAGTGTTTGCGACACAAGGTGTGGTGGTAGGTGTAAAGAGAGTGCCGTTCGTGTATGGGCCAAGTGTCTTTGTTTGCTCTACTACTACTCTGATGCCTACACAATAGGTTGTGCAGCCACGAGATCATTTTGCCGCCTTTATGATGCCAGACAGAGGTTGATGCGATTCGAACCTTATATAGGTGAGGACCTTTCGACCTTGAGCTATGCCACGTCTTCAGCGAATCTAGACAAAAACTATGGTCATCATCTTGCATAGCAAGTGAACATCGATTGCAACCCGCGCTGAGCAGATGCAGGAGCTTAAAGTTCTCACTCATGGCTCGGGAGCCTGCAATGCTTATCGCTTGTCCCTTGAAGCTCACGAGACTGTCAATGAGCCCATCCTGGATTTTCACAAATGATTGCACCACGCAGTGCGTTGCGCCTCTAAGCTTGTGTCATGACTTGTTGAAGGTTCTGACGGCAGGCAAGCTTTGCGCCGGCCGCAGGTTGCCATGCTCAGAGTTCTTTTTATGACCTCCGCCTTTCCGCTGGTGGGTTTGCGCACCAACATCAGACCCACCCTTCAACGCAGCAACCATTTGACAGTCTAGCCACCTTCGCTGGTGAGAGTGACACACCGCAAGTATGTCCTGGCCTTCCTGGAATGTTACAAATGGCGTCTGACGGCAAAGCTGGACTCCGCTGTCGATGCCAGGCGGGCGGGCGGCTGAGCTAGGCAGGTTTCCCTTGGCCGACCTGCGGCCATGTGCAGATCAGCGGCGGCTGTTGGCAAACCTGAAGGGCTGCTTGTCATAAACAAGAAAAGGACTTGACACAGTTGCCCTATGTTAGCCTTTGTCTAGGTATTCGTGACATCTCGTAACAATCAATAGTTGCAGTTGTGTGAACCAATCGATTGGGTCGTTTTAGAAGTGCGACAATGGATTCTCGGTCTGTGGTTCCTCGTGTGAACTTCAGGCGTACGGGGTACAGTAGAGCATTTGCAGGTTGTGTGGCCCCTCAATGAATTTAGGCAAAGGATTCGCTACTAGGTTGGAGGCCAGGGCCATCGCTATTAGGTTGGAGGCCTAGTAACCCCTCAATGAACTTGGGTCAAGGTTCTATGGTCTTTCTGCGGTGAAAGACTTGGCACTGTTGAACTGCTAGTCTGTGCACCAGGTTTGGAAGTGCTAATCTGCGCGGTTGTGGGTCGGGAACCACTCAGGTTTGGCTGAACTCGAAAGGAGCACCAGAACTCCTTGACCATCGCAGGCCCGCATGAAGAGGGAGACAGGAGCGACAAGTCCCCATAGCTCAGACTCAGGGTGAATTAAGGGCCTTCAAGAATCCTGATGTATGAAAAAGTGACCCCAAGATTGCAACAAATAGATCAAACAATTGTACATTCCCCTCTAATTATCTACAAGTGTCGACACTGCCATTGCACAGGCTCAAGGATGACACCACGTCTACACGTCCGATGTGGTTATTTTGTCCGGTTTCCCTGCGACACAATTCCCGGAAAGCCAGACACCGATCACAGTCACCATTTGGCCCATTGACTTGCGCTCTTGGTTCTATCTCCCAAGGTTCCATTCCCTTTCTCCTTCACGGAGGCTCAAGGAAAGGAATAGGTTGGAGGGGTTCCAACTCAGACTGGATCAGTGTGGTTAGCGGACTGTGGGGTTCGCAGACTGAGACTGCGGCCACCCTGCGCTGAGGCTTTGAACCGTGGCCGGGCCACGGACTCACTCGAAAGCGGCCCGTTCGGTGCCTGGGCCGCTGTGGCAAGCTGTTCGGCGTGTTCGGTCCCTTCCACAATGGGGAGGAAGGTCTCGTCCAGGGTCCCAAACATAGAGAACATCCGTCTACATTCGACAGACCTCCTAGGAAGTCAAAGAAGTTCTCCCAAAATCACTGGCAGGAAAGATAGTCGCAGCTGGTGGACTGGGACTCTGTTGGATGTCTTCGGTGGACCGTCCAGGGGCAAACGGCAGGTGCGGGACGGTGATATGTTCATGGACCCAGGGTCATCATTGCCGCCCTAAGTGATGCAGTGACACGTTCGGGGGTAGGGATTGACCATTCCTGAGCGGCCGGTTGCAAAGGATTCTTGTGCGATTTTCAGTCGACCACCGACCAACTTGGTCAATTTGTTTTTCTGCCTCAGAATGACCAATGGTTTTGCCTCGGAAGCTTTGCGACACCAAGGTCATTGGTTTGGAGCCTTCAATTTAGTCCATTTCAACTGAAATGCGATCGTTTCCTCGTGTTGAAATTGACGACACATCACTTATCCTCCATTAAGATTCATAGTGATGGATCATATGCACATCTTGGAAAAAATAAGTAAAGTAACAGTAAATCAAAGAATATATATATATATTAATATTGATATCAATATAATCTCAAATTAATTCTGTATTTATTCTACATATTAATGAATCTAATATTAGTATACCGCCGGATTGAAATTTAGAATTATATTTTGGAAAAAAAAACATATTGGGGGCCCTTGATTCGGCCGTATTCTAAGTTATGAGCAAAATAAATTAGAATGCCGACGTTAAATTCTTTATAAATATTAATATGTTTGGTTTTTATGTTCGAACAATGTTTGTTTGATTTATTCTTTAAATCTCTTTTTTTTTCTTACCTTCGAAACCTTTTTTTCCACCTTTAAAATTCCTTTTTTCTCTACCCTTTCGATTTTTTTTTTTTTTTTTTTTTAACCTTTCTAAAACCTTTTATTTTCACTTTGCGCCCTGTTATTTTTACCTTGTAGCATGTTTCTTTTACCCTTTATTTTGTTTCGTATTTACCCTTTACCCTTTCTTTTTTATCCTCGATTCTTTCTTTTTAACTCCCCCGGATGAAGGTAAACCTTGGAACTTGTATAGAAAACGATGTCACCTCCGGTTTATTTCCCATTGCTTGTTTGTAGCTGCTAAACCATTTGTTTTTACCTCGATAACTTTTTGTTATTAATCCTTTGGAACCCTCCGGAAACTGCAGAGACTGTCCGGAACGATAGGAACTGTCGGAAACTGATCCGGACGCCTCCGGAACGTGAGGCAGCAAAGGATCGATCGATCCATCCATCCATCTATCCATCTATGCACCCATCTACACCAACCGACCAACCAACCAAGCAATAACGCGGCCAAGCCAACAAACCAACCAAGTAACTAATAAGCAACCAAAACCACCCATCCCGTAGTGTTGCGCCTTCCGCCGCACCCCCTCCCGCCTTTATTTACCCAGCATCCATCCAGCCATCCACCCATCCGTCCATCCATCCATCCGTCCATCCATCCATCCGTCCATCCATCTATCAACCAAGCACACAAATAGAAAAGTTTGCATATCCATCGAGCATTGTATTACGCAATCAATCACGGCAAGCAAGCCAAGCAACCAACACACCAAAAAGTTTCATTTTTCTCCTTGTCTATGATCCATCCAACACTATATGTGTTTTCCAACAAACCAAGCAGGCTGAACCAACCAACACACCAACCAAAGGAAGGATAAGGATAGTAAAAAAGAAAGGGTGGGTAGCCCACCAGCAACAAACAAACCTAGCAGCCAAACGTTTTCCCCAAATATCGATACTTGCTTTGCATTGGTAGCCCACCAAGCAACCAACGAACCAAGCAACCAAAACCACTCTTCCCAAATGCTGTCGATGCTTGGTTCGCATTGCGGAGGAGGCGCTGTGCCCTCCCCCGCGCCCCCTCCCAGAATTTACAGACCAACCATCCATCCCCCCATCAAACAAGCAAGCAACCAACAAACCAAGCAACCCAAACCACACAACCCTGTGTTTTCCCCAAATGCTGTTGATATTTGATTTCCGTTGCGGGGGAGGCGCTGCGCCCTACCCCGCACCCCCTCCCGCCTTTGTTTAGACAGCATCCATCCATCCATCCATCCATCCATCCATCAAGCACACAAACAGAAAAAAATTGCATATCCATCAAGCACTGTATCACGCAATCAATCACGGCAAGGAAACCAAGCAAGCAACACACCAAAAAGTTGGACCTTTCTCCCTGTCCATGATCCATCCATCACTTTATGTGTTTTCCCCAAATCCAAGCAAACAACAAGCCAAGCAGGCCGCACCAACCAACACACCAACCAAAGCAAGTGGTGTAAAAAAGACAGGGTGGGTAGCCCACCAAGCCACAAGCAAACCAAGCAACCAAACTGTACTTTCTCCAAATGCTGTCGATACTTGCATTGATAGCCCACCAAGCAACCAACAATCCAAGCAACCAAAACTTCACAACCCTGTGTTTTCCCCATCGATATTTGGTTTGCATTACAACAAGCTAGCCAACCAACCAACACACCAAGCAAAGGAAGGAGGGTGAACAAGGAAGGGAATCCGGGCGCCGGCCACGCGCCCGTGGCATGCCCGGAGGGCCTTCGGTGGTAACCGAAGGTTATATACGCTCGCGCCCCTTCCCACTTCCTCCCCACCTCCGGGTCACAGAAGCCCCTGTAATTTACAGTTTTTCGTGTGTGTGGGTGAGGTATAAAAAACACTGTGTTTTGCAGGGTTTTGGGCCCCTCGGCGGCCGAGAATTTCATCTTGGCGAGGTTAAAAAACCGTAGATGTTTCTATGGTTTTTGCTTTGCGGGAAGGAAAAAATCGTAAAAAGTTGTATCGGAAGATTTTTCAACATAAATCGCCTAACATATCCCCAACATAGGCCCAAGATAGCCAACATATCCCCAACATTTGCCCAACATAAGATGGCTCAACATAGGCCCAATTGTAAGCAGACAGTCTAGAGATCTAGACGCATTGAGGTCCAGCGAGGTGATGGTGGTGATGAAGTGAAAGTGGGTGTGAGTGAGTGTGGGTGAGAGGGAGTGTGCGTGTGAGTGAGAGTGGGAGTGTGGGTGAGAGTGAGAGT